TCGCTTTACAGAGCCCTCCCCCACTGCCCAGCAAAGCCTCTTGTCCTTAGAGTCCTCATGTCTGATTCACCGCCCATGGGCTCCTTTCCTCTTAGCTTGGTCCTGGCCCAGGACACCGAGCAGTCCTTGTTTCAGGTGTCCAGGTCACCAGGGCTGGACTTCTACCAGGGACTCTGCCCAGCGTCTTACGGTAACAAGACTGTGCACCCTTGCAGGGACCTGCGGGGCAGCCCTGGCCCAACCGCACCCGAGTGGACGAGAGCTTTCTCTCTTCTCGGTGTCTCTGATGGCTGCTCCCCTGTCCTCTGACATACTGCTGTGATCCTGGAGGCACCTCAGTGCCCTGTCCTCCGTCACTGGGTACGCATGGGCACGCCCGTGGCTCCAAACCTGGCCCTCATGTGTACAATTTCTAGGCCAGCTCAGAAAGTCTACTTCAAGTTGTCTGTGGGTTATTGGCTTTCATTCATCTCCCTTGGAAACCTTTCTTGAACCAAAAAATAGATTTCCCTTGGATAGCTGTGCTCCACGCTCTGATGTCGTCTTGCATTTATTATTGCAGATGAGAAATTGGAGGTCGATGTTATTTTTGTTCCTTCATAGTATAATTCTTTTCCCCGACAGAATGCTCAAAGATGACATATTCATTCTGGAAATCACAGAAATAGAACGCTCACCGGGCCCGTGGCAGTTCCTCTGGCTGTGTTCGCCTTTCACCTTCCCGCCCTGCTGTCTCTGCCCACTAATGTTTCCTTTGGCCCTGTTCTTGATCACTGTACCTGCTGCAAGCCATCTGACTCCTTCCTGCAGATGCTCTAGGCTTTCAAAGTTCCTGTTCCTGTTCTCTGTCGACCCTTGCAAAAAGTCTTCTCACTTAGGATTCAGGAATTTATAATTTTCCCTTAACTTGGGAGGTCTCAAGGTTGCAGCTGATCTGACTTTCCGATGTCCCATTTCTTCCTCCCCGTCCCGTGAGCGTTTAACGCTGTGATTGCATTTCTGGCTCCCTGGTAACCTTTGTTTGTCTCCTCTTGTCAGGGCCTATTGTCTTTCATCTTGGCTCATTTTCCTCTCACAGTTTTCCTCTGCCCTTGATTTGCAGAATGCTGTCGCATCTTGCATCAGCCGCCCATGCCAGCTTTCCAGCATGTTCTTCTGGTGGAAGGGGCGGTCCTTTTCTGAAGGCTTCCTCCTGGTTTAAGATGCTGCTGCTCACTTAATTCAGATAGCAATTATAAACACATCCGGTGCCCAAAGCATGTATGAAACATGCAAGCACATTCTCGTAACCATGACAACGCGAGCATCCATGGGACTGAAAATAGAATGCTGCCCACGCTCAGGGTTTCCCAGCACCCCTGGCTTCTAGGGCAGCCACTGCCCTGGCTTGGGGTGCCCTCTCCCCTGCTGTGTTCTGACAAGTTCACCTTATCTCTGCATAGATAGATGTGCTTGAACAGCACACTGACGAATCTTGCCCAGTTATGAGCTTTATGTGCATGGAAGCAGCTGTGTGTCCTCTGGGACCTGGCCTTTGTCACTAGACGTGGTGTTTCCAAGGTCAACGGCCCTATACCACTATGCCCCTAGTTTGAATTTACCTCCAGGCATCTATTCATTGAGTTACAATGTGATTGGGGGCTGGGCTGCAGGTTTGGGTCCTGCTAGGGACGCCAGGGCACCTGCCTAAAGGCCAGGCTCACATCCACATCCACTTCTTAGGTTGCTTTTGTCACACGGGGCCATTCTACTGTCCCCTACTCTCAGCTGACCGCCTCTCATGGTCTTCCCTCCACAGACAGTGCTGGCTATGCCCTGGCCAGTCCCTGCCCTGCTGCCTGCCTCAGCCCCTTCTGTGTGTGACCACTCAGTGGACACTGGTCATTTGAATGTTTTTTCAAAAGACCAGCCTCAGACCTTGTGGGCCCTCTCTCTCTATTCTTCTATTTCCTTAATTGATGTTGTCTTTATTACTCATGATTCTCTCATTCCATGCTGGGTTTATTTTCCCAGGGTCTCCCTCGCTTCCAGAGATGGATGCGCCGGTCATTTGTCCGTGGCCTCGTTTGTCCTCTTGGGACACGGAGGCCACCATGCCCAGGCTCTCCGCTCCCAGCTGCATTTGCATCCGGTCCTGGCATCTTCTTTTGTTGTTTGACTCATGGGGAGGCTGGGCTCCTCTGTGGGGCTTGAATGCTGCCAGGGTCTTGGGCAGTCCCGGCGTGGATGTCCTCCAGTGGTGTGGGTCCAGGCTCTAGGACACTTCAGGGCTGCCTCCTGTTTGAATTTTCCTTGCTGGTGGGTGCCGGTCTCTAAGTCAGCCGACCATTGTAGTGTGCCAGGCAGGTGTGGGTCTGTGCCCACTCCACACTGACATGAAGTGCTCAGCTCTGGGCGGGGGGCGGCTGAGGAAGGCCCTCACAGAGCCACCAGCTGGGCACTCTCCTGCCCTCAGAGACGCAGAGAACCCGAGCAGGGCCAGCCAGTGGGAAGCCATCAAGGCACACTCAGCTGCTCCAGGGCCGTCCAACTCTCACCTGCCCCTGCTGGGGTTCCTGAGAGCTGGCCTGTGGAGGAACCCTGATTTACATGTGTGTGCTCGCCCCATCTGCCCAGACGCCGCAGACGCGCGGTCCCCACGGTGCCTGGTCCTGAGTGGACGTCCTGGAGGAGAGCTGCGCACGCGCAGGACGCAGAGTTCAGCACTGAACTGCAGGTGGTTGATTCGTTTTCCCATAACACAGCCCAGCTTCCCCTAAAGACATGCCGACGCTCAATAAATCTCACACCTGCATGTCACCACTTCAGTTAACCACGTGCCCTGCTCTTCTTTTGGCTTGGGAGGTTTACCGCAATGCTTCATCTTGCTTCCTGGGCACCATTTGGAGGAGGTGTATTTTCACACAAGGAAGGGCGGGGAGGCCCTCGGCAGATCCCTGCTGACGGAGAGGCGGGCCGGGCTGAGAGGTCATCCAGATCCACGGAGCTGTGTACCACACACATGCACACAGGGATTTAACTTGGGTTTGTTCTGGAAATTCCTCTATATTTTTAAATTTGCCTTGGTCAAAACCAGGTGTGACGAACTTGGGAATCAGTGGGGCCAATGGACGTTCCAAGCTTGCATTTCCCTGGGAAATGGAGTGTTCTGTCTTTCCGTGTTTTCTGTTTTGCAGGACTGGTTTCAACTCAGGGATTCATGCTGGCTAGGCAGTTTCTCTACCACTTCCTTGGACCTAGGCCTTTATGCTCTGGTTATTTTTGAGATAAAGCCCCCCCCACACCTGGGCTAGCCTAGATTGGTGATCCTCCCAACATCAGCCCCCCTTGGATCTGGGCTGACAGGTACTATCACCACATCCATCTTTTCCTGTTGAACGGGGGTCTTGTGAACTTCTTCACCCAGGGTAGCCTGAAACCTTGACCCTTCTCATCTCAGGCCTCTCTATGATTCTTTACCTAAGCATAGCATGATCATTTTATTTCATTTTGACTCCGCTTCCATGGAGTGAATCCATTTATTTTCTGTTATATCTCAAATATCTTGGCTTCTTTGCTATTGTCAAGCATTTAGCATGCTCGGATCTCTCCCATCTTAGAAAGAAACCCAGGAGTTTGGTCTCAGCCCCATTCCCCTGTCAGTTGCCCTTCTTTTTTCCCTCTGCACAGCCAAGCCTCTGCCCACCCAGGACTGGAGGCCTCCAGACCCCTGCCCTGCCCAGTCCTGGACCTGTGTCTCAGCCCCAAGCAGTCAGGAAGGAAGGTCCCACCGGATCACCTCGGCCGCCCCTTGCCACCTGCCTCCAGTGGTCTGGGGGAGGCAGAGGGGGTGCTCTGGGCACTCTCCTTACCCCCGGCTCCATCACGCGCTGACTCAGTGCCCGACCCTGCCCTGCCTCCTCGTTCACAGCCCTCAGTACAAACCTCATCTCCTCGGATGGCGTCCTTGGAGCACCAGCCATCCGATCACGGATCTCAGGGCGTCCAGTGTGGGCAGGCTCACCTGGAGGGTGGAGGACAGCTGTGGCCATGGCTGGCCCCAGGGCCCTCCTTCCTTCCAGGCCCACCTGGAGCCACACCTGCTGCAAACCTGCAAGCTTCTTGTGTACCTGCTTCTCTGCTTCTTGAATTTCTCTTTCCCTTTATGAAATTCTTGACAAACAGCCCCCCCTCCACTCCAATAAGTCCCCTGAGGATGCTCTTACCCCTGGTGTGCAGATCTCTGCCTCTGTCTCTCCTGAGTATGGGCGGCTCCCTCTGGTAGGACCTCCGTTCCTGGTGCACACTAGTTATCACTGGAGGAGTGAATTACCCAGCACACACTAGAGACAGGGTGCAACTTTCCTTCAATCCCTGGCTCACAGCCCAGCCTCCACCCACCTCCCATCCCATCCAGCCTTTGTAGGAATCATGGCACCATTGTTCATTCAACCCCAGTTACGTATCAGGTACAACGCAAAACCTTCGTGTAGTACCTACTCCGTGGTCCTGAGATCAGACCTTCCAGCTCTTCACCCTGAGGCCAAATGGCCTGCTCCTATGTCTAGTGGTCACAGCCCACCCTGGGGTGTCCTGGGAGAGGGGACACGCTGGATCAGGGATGTGCCTGGGTGGGTACCTCCCAGCTGGGGACGGCCTGCTTCCGATCTGCTACCCATTGTCTCTGTGTGCCTGGTTCCCAGGGCTGAGACCCCCACACAAGGGCCCTGCAGCATCTGCTCTATGAGCAGATTCAGGCAATGGGTCTCAGGACACCAAGGGAAGCGAGCCTGGGAACTGCGTCTCCATCTAGATCCAACTTCCCGCAGCTAAGAGGCTCAGCACCAGCCGCTCTGCACGCTGCGCTGCGTGGTCCCTGAAGATTGGAAAGAGGATCAGAGTTAATTTAAGGTGAAACCACTCTCATCACCTCAGCCAGTCAAGCTCAGACCCAGGAGGGAGGAGGAGAGAGGAGACACCAGGAGCTGGCAGCCCATCCTCCGTGCGTGCCTGCCCTCCCTTTAGGCTGCCCGCATGTGGGCACCTGCGGGCATCTCTCTCGCGGCGTGTAGACAGTGTGGTGTCCTTGGGGACCACTGCCCACCATGGGTGGAGATGTGTTCGTAGGCTGGGGGTGCTTCTCCCGTATGCTGAGGCGGAGGAGGGCAGCTGTAGGGGTCCAGGCCCCGGAATCACGCGCCTCTACTGCTCACCGGGGCCGGTGGAGACAACCAGAGCTCCCAATTTCCCAGGCCCCAGCTGATGTGTCCACACTGCCTCGATGGGTCTTGCAAGACAGGCCTTGAGACGGAGGACGGCGGGGTCTGCAGCCGCGGGCCAGGGGTCTGCAGCAGCGGGCCGGGGGTCTGCAGCTGCGGGCCAGGGGTCTGCAGCAGCGGGCCGGGGGTCTGCAGCAGCGGGCCGGGGGTCTGCAGCAGTGGGCCGGGGGTCCGCAGCCGCGGGCCGGGGGTCCGCAGCCGCGGGCCTGGAGTCCGCAGCTGCGGGCCGGGGGTCTGCAGCAGTGGGCCGGGGGTCTGCAGCCGTGGGCCGGGGGTCTGCAGCAATGGGCCTGGGGTCTGCAGCCGCGGGCCTGGAGTCTGCAGCTGCGGGCCGGGGGTCCGCAGCAGTGGGCTGGGGGTCCGCAGCCGCGGGCCGGGGGTCTGCAACCGCGGGCCAGGGGTCTGCAGCCGTGGGCCTGGGGTCTGCAGCCGCGGGCCTGGGGTCTGCAGCAGTGGGCCTGGAGTCTGCAGCTGCGGGCCGGGGGTCCGCAGCCGCGGGCCGGGGGTCCGCAGCAGTGGGCAGGGGGTCTGCAGCCGTGGGCCTGAGGTCTGCAGCCGCGGGCCTGGGCTCTGCAGCCGCGGGCCGGGGGTCCGCAGCCGTGGGCCTGGGGTCTGCAGCCGCGGGCCTGGGGTTTATTCCAGGCTGACCCGGTGCTCTGGCCTGTGGCCGTGGCCTGGCGGGAGCAGCCGGCTCCGGCACTGGTGTTCTGGGTTGCCGCAGATGCTGGCTCAGCTCAGGGCAGAGAGAGCCCACCCCGCACCCTGACTGGAGCCAGGGGACTGGGCGCTGCGTGCCTGAATCCATCTCAAGGTGAACCCCGCTGTGGGCTGCCACCTCCATCTGGGTGCTAGGGAGACAAGAAGGGTCCCCAGAAAGAGGATTTGCTGAGGATAGCACATTGTCTGGGGGCCGACGAGGTTTCACAGCCAGAAGGTGAACTGGGCACACTCTATTTAGCTGATACGTTGACTCCAAAGAAACTTCCCCACCACCTCCCCTCCCCTCCCCTCCCCTCCCCTCCCCTCCCCTCCCCTCCCCTCCCCTCCCCTCCCTTTCCTCTTCTCCTCAGGCCCCTCCCCTCCCTTCCTTCTCTCCCTCCCCTCTCTCTTCCCCTCTCCCTCCCGTTTCCCCTCCCCATCCCACAAGAGCCTCCAGCCTGGCAGCCCCTGTGTCTCCTCTTCCTGTGTCCCTCCCTCCAGGGCAGGTGTGACCCTGCACCAGGGCATTGACCGCTTGCCAGTTCTCCAGAAGAGACATTGAGAACACGTGCCAGTGTGGGCATCTGTGCCGGTCCGGTGGGAGTTCTTGGAAGGGTGCGTGGCCTTGTGTCCCAGGGATGGACATCAGTTCCTGCCCAGCTCAGCCATGGCTGGACGGGACATGCACCGATGGCAGCCTCCTCGGAGATGCTGGGCGGGACACTGCCCCCCGGGGCTGGCCTCCTGAGCCCTCTCTGCCTCAGCAGCTGCTGCTCCAGCTGTGTCCTGGCCCACCTGTCCCTGCCTCCCAGTGCCAGCGCCCAGCGCTCCCGGCCCCTGCAGCTGCAGCGCGGCACCCGGGGTTCCGTGCGCTGAGCGCCAGCTCCCGCTTCTCCTCTTAATCCAAGGTGTGTCCCGAGCCCAGCCCTGACCACCTGATCATCGCCAACTCTTCCACTTCCCAAGCCTGCCTTCAGGAAAGGAGGTGAGCTGTGAGCTCCTTCCCTCTAGGGAGGGGCAAGGCAGGGGGTGAAGGTTCCCCAGGCTTCACCCTCTTCTCTCCCAGCCTTCGCCCTCTTCTCTCCCAGCTACACCCTGCTCAGGTAAAGCAGGAACGGGACCGGCAATGCCAGCCACAGGCTCCCCTCCCGGCTTGGGGCGGCTGCATCATGGGTGGAAGAATAGAGAGGCAGCCCAGCTCTCTTCCTGCCCCATCCCATCCTGTCCTCCCCTCTGCCCACAGTTCTCTGAAGAACTTTGATGCTCCTGCCTTCTGTTCCCTCCCACACTGCCACCCTCCACCCAACCCATCCGGCTGGCCCCGGGCTGCTGGGTGGATGGGTCTGCTGACCCCACGGACTTAGCTAACAGTGGTTGGTGTGTCCAGGCTCCGGGCATTCCCTTACTCGTTCACTCCCATCCCATCTTTCCAGCACTGCCCTGCGCTCTGTGCCCCTTGTGCTCCCCCGTTTGCCCTCCCATGATGCTGGCATCCGGCGGGATTTGGTGGGAAGTCCTCACCCCACCGCCGTCTCTCCTTGGGAAACCTCCTCCGCACCTGCGGCGTTAATGACCATATTTATGCTGATGACTCTCACATTTATCCCTCCTGAGCGCTGCCGCAGACCTGGTCCCACCAGGAAACAGATGGTGCGGGCAGGGCCGCGGTGAGCGCTGTTTACAAGCTTGTGCGTTCTAGAAGGAAAACCAACAGAACTCGCGCCACGGGAGCCATGCTCTCCCCGGGACGGAGGCACCAGGAAGGGAAGAGGCACCAGAAGGTGCTGGTATTGTGGGGAGTGGAACCCCAGCGCTCTCCTCCTCCGCTCCTGGGCTCCCAGGGAACTGGCGGTCTGGAAGCCGGGGTCAGGGGCCCTGGCAGAGCCTGGGACAGGTGAAGGCGCACTCAATGTGCCACAGCGGGTGCAGCAGGGACCACGCATCTCAGAGGAGGTTTCTGCAGTGGACTACGGACTTTGCCTAATCTGTGACTTGCCCACTCTGTGCCTCAGTTTGCTCATAAGCTGTGGGGTTTGTGAGCAGAGGATGGCTGGGAGAATTACAGAAAACCCCGTGTGCTCCTCTCTCTAATGGCATCTGGTGCCTGGGAGACCCTGTGCCTTCAGGAAGAGTGAAGGAGGCCGGGGGAGGCTGGGGAGGCCGGGGGAGGCTGGGGGAGGCCGGGGGAGCCTGGGGGAGGCCGGGGAGAGGCTGGGGGAGCCTGGGGGAGTCTGGGGGAGGCTGGGGGAGGCCGGGGGAAGCCAGGGGAGGCCAGGGGAGGCTGGGAGAGCCTGGGGGAGGCTGGGGGAGGCTGGGGGAACCTGGAGGAGCCTGGGGGAGCCTGGAGGAGGCTGGGGGAGGCCGGGGGAGGCCGGGGGAGGCCAGGGGAGGCTGGGAGAGCCTGGGGGAGGCTGGGGGAGGCTGGGGGAGGCCAGGGGAGGCTGAGGGAGGCCAGGAGGAGGCTGGGGGAGCCTGGAGGAGCCTGGGGGAGGCCAGGGGGAGGCTGGGGGAGGCTGAGGGAGGCCGGGGGAGGCTGGGGGAGGCTGGGGGAGGCTGGGGAGAGGCCGGGGGAGCCTGGAGGAGCCTGGGGGAGGCTGGGGGAGGCTAGGAGGAGGCTGGGGGAGGCTGGGGGAGCCTGGGGGAGGCCAGGAGGAGGCTGGGGGAGGCCGGGGGAGGCCGGGGGAGGCTGGGGGAGGCCGGGGGAGGCTGGGGGAGGCTGGGGGAGGCCAGGAGGAGGCTGGGGGAGACCGGGGGAGGCCGTGGGAGGCTGAGGAGAGGCTGAGGGAGGCTGGGGGAGGCTGGGCTACCTCAAGTGCAGGCAGCCTAAAACCCACTGCAGCCTCTCATCTTTCTCCAATCCAGGGCCACTAGCTGTCCACCCTTGCACTGCCCGCTGGCCTGGGCAGCGCCATGCCCCTCCCGGCCCACACGACCCCCGACAAGTCCATCCAGGGAGGAGGACAGCGCCTGTCCACAGTTCCTTAACTCCAGCGCCATTGTCACACCGTGGCCTCGGCTCTGCGGGATCCTTCTTCAGGGAGGGAAGGCCCGGGCCCTCCCGCAGGTCCCTCAGGCAAATGCCCTCTCGTGCCCGAGCCTGGGCCAAGCCTGCAGCCAAGAGACCTTGCTCTGACTAGTTGGAAGTTGAACTTCAGCACTGTCTCCTGGGGCCAGAAAACATGGTCCTCTGTGCCCAGCCGCTCAGCCCGAGGGGGGAGGCAGGCGGTGCTGCCCCAGCTCCACTCCTCCCAGTCTGAGGGGGGAGGCAGGCGGTGCTGCCCCAGCTCCACTCCTCCCAGTCTGATGGGAGAGGCAGGCGGTGCTGCCCCAGCTCCACTCCTCCCAGTCTGAGGGGGGAGGCAGGCGGTGCTGCCCCAGCTCCACTCCTCCCAGTCTGAGGGGGGAGGCAGGCGGTGCTGCCCCAGCTCCACTCCTCCCAGTCCGAGGGGGGAGGCAGGCAGGTGCTGCTCCCACAGGCCCAGGCTCCGTATTGCCTCTGCGCAGGACATTGCATCCTTCGTTGACTTTTCTCTAAAAGCTCATGTTACTTGTTGAAGGAGATTCGCTGTGATGTGTCCATACCAGCAGACAATGTGTGTATTTCGATCCAGTTCACCCACTCTGTTGCTCTTTCTTATCTCCCCTTAGACCAACTGTAATGGATTAAATTATTCTACACTCATAAGTGCATATGAAGTATTTGACTCATGCTCAGCACCCCAACACCCTCTCCTTTTACCCCTCAAGCTGGGACTTTCGAGAGAAAAATGGGGTTTGACAGAGATACCAGCACAGCAGCAGGCTTAGCATGAAGCAGACTGTCCAGGATGAGCGAGGTGCTTAGCCCATCTTGACCGCCAATGGAATAAGGTGCGAGTCTGCCCTCTCCGACCTCTCCCTCCCCCACGGCCTGCCAGACAGTGCACTGCACTGTGGGGAGGTGTGGGCCCGCCTAGAATAACAATGGAGTGGATTCATTCCCGATGACAGTAGCTCCTTCTCCCATCGGCACCCCTTCCTCACCTTGCATTGACATCTTGTCACCTGCTGAGCAGAATCTCCCAATCATTGTCTTTCTACTTCCGATGAAATCCCCGCCCCTATTTCCAATCTTGGCTTCAGTTCTCTGTGTTGCTGACCGGCCTGCTACCCCAGAGGACCAGCCTCTGCTCACCCACAGCCTCCGACACCCGGTGTACCCATCCGGTAGCTTCTCCCTGCACGCGGTGTGCCAGGCACACCTGGCAAGCCTCCCGCCTCACCCAGAGCTTCCCGGAGCCCGCTCACCCCTGTTAGGATGAGAGGCGCAGGGCTGCTGCTGTCATAACCTCAGTCAAGCCCGACAGACTCAGATTTCAGGATCAATGGTGATGGTTCAGTGTCCCCCGAGTCCTGAAAGACAGACTCCCCTCATCCTTTCCAACGGTGTGTGCGCGCGTCCTGGAGTTTCTGCTTGTCCTTTTGCCATCATGGCCTTGTTACCACTTCATCTGTCTTTCTTGAGGGGCTTTTGGGGGAGCTGGGCCCCTCATCTTGTTCCTCAGATGCACCTGCCAGAGCCTCTGCCTGTACCCCACCACTTCCTCCATCAGCCACGCCCATGTGGGCAAGATGGACACCTGGCCAGAGCGGACAGCATCTGAAGCTGCACTCCTGGTACACAGTGGTTGTGTGGTGGGTCTGAGCTCCCTGGCGACATCCTCGGTGCTCAGGCCTGGGGGGGGCATCTGTCCACGCTTTTATAGTGATAAAGGAGAAGCCACGGTGGGCAGAAGGGGCAGGTTTTCCTCGCAGGATGCTGGATGGTCCTCAACATGCAGATGGGCCTTGTGGGCATCACAAAACCCCCCGCTCCGTGTCCCAGCATCCCTGCCTCCTCCTGCGGCCAGCATGTTCCCTAACCATGCGACACTGGCGGCCTTCTGTTACACACAGCCACAGGCATGCGCGCGTGTGCACGCACACACACACACACACACATGCCTGTGAATGGCCCAGCAAGGGAGTGAAAGAAAGCCTTTGCTCTGGGGACTCTGCCTGCCCTTGCCCCATGGCGTCCTCCATGGGGACAGATGGTCGTGTGCCTCTAACAGTCCCGGGAGGCAGAGCTTTGGGGAGGTGACTAGATCACAAGGTGGACCCTAAAGGGGCTCAGCTCTCCAAAAAAAGAGGCTCTTGTGAAATCCTTCGCTCTCCTTCTCCTCTCTGGGAGGACGCAGCTCAGAGGAAGATGCCATCTGTGAACCAGGCTGTGGCTCTTGTCACTGAGTCAGCCTCCAGAGAAGAAGGGACAGAGAGAGAGAGAGAGAGAGAGAGAGAGAGAGAGAGAGAGAGATGGCAAGACAGAGACACACAGAGAGACACAGACACACAGAGAGATCTGCTGTCTAGGATCCCAGACCTACATCCCTCTGTGACCTGCACACAGCTGCTCTTCAGGTCCCAATCCGGCCAGGTGCCCAACACTGGCTCCTGCCCAGCCCGAGCCTCCTACTTCTCCCTGTCCTTCTCTGTCCCTCAGGATGAGCGCAGAGGTAGGCAGCTGCCTTTTGCAGTTCA